AGAGTTTTTCAGGGTACATCAGTCTGGGTTGGAGGTTGTTTTCCTTTAGGGCTTGAAATATGTCACTCCAAGCTCTTCTTGCTTTGTGGGTTTGTGTTGAGAAGTGTGCTGTGATTGTGATGGGCTTTCCTTTGTTCGTGACTTGTTTCTTTTTTCTTAACTGATTGTAGAAATTTATTCTTCTTTTAGGTTTTTGGAATCTTAACAATTATCTGTCTATGTGTAGATTTTTTTTTTAATCTGGGCTGGTGGGATTCCTATAAGCCTCAATTATCTATATGTCAGGTTCTTTTCCCCTATTTGGGAAGTTTTCTGCCATTACTTTGGTGAACAGTTTTTTATGTCATCCGCATGCTCTCCTGTTTCTTCATTGACTCCAGCCAGTCTTAAGTTATTCTTTTTTGAATTGTCTAGCAGCTGCTAGATTGATCTCTCATGGTCCCTTACTATTTTTAAGAGATTTTTCTTTTCCTGGTCACTAATTGCAATCCTGTCTTCTGTATCTGAAATTCTGTACTCGCATTGGCTTGTTTTGCTGTGTAAACTTTCAGTGGAGTTTTAAAAGTCTTGGAAATCTGTTTGCATCTATTTTATGGATTCCTTATGTTTTCCTATGTTGGGATTCTATCATGTTTCTCAGCTCCTCTATTTTTTAATCTGTGTTTTCTCTAGATTTATTAATCATGTCTTGTACTATGGGTACAGTCTTTGTTGTTATTTGATAAATTATTTCTGATTTCATTTTTTCCAGGTCCTTTTTCATTGGCGGTTCAGTAGCAGCTTGTTCCATCTTGTTTCCCTTTGGGGTTGCCTTAGGTGATCTGGAAGTCTGGTTTTGAGACTTATTTCCTTGTCTTCTCATTTCAACAGATGCAGCCTGCAGTGCCTTTGTTAAGGAAACTTTTTGCTCACCCAGTGGTCTTCAGTTCTTAGCAGGCCACCCGGCAGCCTTTACTTTGCTGCTCCCAGTACTCTGATTCCTATGTTTAGAATGGTGGTCTTCTATATCCCTGTGCTGACTTGTTGTCTGGGTGTGATTCTGGCTGGGGCCTGTGTACACTTAGGATGATATCAAGGTGTGCCTCTCACTGGGGCCCTTATGTAGCTGTTGTCTGGGGCCAGGGAGGTTAGCTGGGGGCTGTGTATCCCAGTTCCTGTTGTCTGTGTAGGCTTCTGGCTAGGGTCTTCAGGCTCTTATCAGGGCTATCAGGGTGAGCCTGTGGCTGTTGCTTTTGCATCTTTTAGTTCTTTTCCAGGTGTGCCCCTGGCTGTGGCCAATGGTATGGTGGGACTCTGGATGAAGCTTGCATGCCTGTGCAGCTCTTTTGTACGTGGGCTGTGGTTTGGGCACATGTGTCCGCACCTCTGGGGATGGGGTGGGGCCCTAGCTGAGATTTACCTGCAGCTTGGCCACTATGGTCCATGCAGGTACTCCCTGGTGTGTGCACACACTTACTGATATTATGGCAGAACTCTCTTTACAACACTTCTATATGAAAGTTCTTGCAGCTACACTTCCTCCTTTTGTCTGTCCTCTGTGCACACTATGACAGTCTATTATTTGTGGTGGTTCTGCAGTGAGGTAGGTGAGGTGGAATGAGGAGAATATGAGGTGGTTGGATGACAGGTGTTAGAGCCTGAGGGAGAGGTTTAAAGGGGGGGATAGTGGTAGATGAGAAGAAAAGGTTTATATAGGGTCTGATTCTATTGGAGTACTTTAGTTGAGTTGAAGGTTTGGTATTGAGAGTTTTCAGAAGATATTTGTGGGGGCAAGCATGAGATATGGGAAAAAGGAGATTTACTTTATTTATTTTTTTGGTACCAGGGATTGAACTTGGGTCCTTGTGCTTGTTAGGCAGGCAGTGGAATCACTAAGCTAAATCCTCAGCCTGGAGATTTACTTTATGACTGAGGAAAGCTATATGGTTGTCAGAACCTACTAGTAGGGAGGAAAGTAAGCAAAATACGATATGGATAAGTCAAAGGGATAGGATGGGAAAGATGGAGAGTTAATACTAGAAAAGATAGGAGTGACTGTGAGGGAGCTCAGTGTGGGAAATTTAAAGGCTTGGGAGGAGGAATTTATGTGTTTGGAAAAACAATAAAGAAACATGTTAATATAGTTTCAGGGTTTTGAGGTGAAGAAACTAGATAGGGATCTGAGACAAGTTAGAGAACCCAAATACCTATTAGATCAGAGCCAATGAGACAACAAATACACAAAAGCAACAACTTAATAAACACATGACATAACCCCATATTACGAAATATAGAAATGTACAAGAACTTAAACCTATAATATGTCTGGGAACACAGATTAAATATTCCAATAAGACATTGTGTATGTGATTCCCAAGTAGCTTCTTTGCCAGAGTCTGAATGCACATACCCAAATAACTACTCTGAACTTTCCACTGCAGAGCTAAAGCTGACTCAGACTCAGGACTTCATTCCCCTGGATTGTAGACATTCTTATACAGTATGATCCAGTCCAAGTTCTTGGGTTAGGAGCTCTTTTTTTTGGGGGGGTACTGGGGATCAAACTCAGGACCTTTCACTTGCAAGGCAGGCAGCAAAACCACTGAGCTAAATCCCCATCCTTGGGTTAGGAACTCTTGCTGTCCCTCTCCCTTGGTGTGATGCTGGAATCAGCAGACAGATTGACTGGTATGAAATTGTCCACTGAGTCAATATTATTCCTATGCATTTAAATCAGCTACAGGGGGCCGGGGATTTAGCTCAATGATACTGCTGCTGGCTTTGCGAGCGCAGGGTCCCAAGTTCAATCCCCCATACCAAAAATAAAGAAATAAAGAAATAAAGAAATTAAATCAGCTACAGTAGTAACAGACTAATCTGTTACAGTGGTATCTGTCAGGGTTAGTTGAGAAATAACTTTAGCCTAGAGAAGAAATCCACAATTATAGGATAAGCATTATAACAGCCCATGTATTGACCCACAATTCATATGCACTAAATGTGTTGCTTATATTTCCTCTATGGTAAAAACAGCATTCAGTGGTGATTTTATAGAATCAATTGTCCGAAGCCCATGAGGCTGGGGACGTGGTAATGCCAGGAGAGAAAGAGAAGAAAGAAAACTTTTTTTTTTTTTTTTTAATTTTCAAGTCTTCTGTTATGTGGTATGAGAAGGAGGAAACAGGAAAGGGGCAAAGGGACCTAGTGATGATAAATTTATGCTACATATTTAGATGAGGATAAGAGGAAAAACTGGATACAAAATTGATAATGAGAAATGGGGAATATTTAGAAAAAATATTAAGGGGAGACAAATGAAAGGGATAGAAGAAAGAAAAGAAAAACAATAAGAAACAGGAGAAAGAAGTTAGACAAAAAGATATGGATAAAAGTAGGAAGGCTATAGAGAGTCAAGGGAGACTTCTCTTACCTTCTAGAAACTATATTGGAAGAAAAAGGCAAGCAGAGAAGTACACACAAAAAGACACGCTCATAAAAGAAAAAAGGGGGTAAATAATAGAATAAAAATGGTGAGAATGAACAGGAGGAGGAAAACATCAAAAGGAAAAAAAGGAAAAGAATACAGTAAAATAATAATATAAGAAAAATTTCTATTATTTGAATGTGACTCTTTTCCTCTGCCTAGGATTAACGAGCGGAGCTCAAGCCAGGGTGTAGCTCTGATTCCACTGGAAGACGAAGGTGGCAGTCTGCCCCCAAACGGTGCTGGGTGCAGACTTGTGCATAAAATAGGAACAGGGTGCCAATGTGGACTTCAGTCCTGTTAACTCAGGCTGAACCTGGCCTCTGACTGTAGGAGCCAGGTCCATATTCAACAGCCTCAGTCCTCAGTGGGACTCCCTGCAGCCTGCTTTCCATCCACTGGTCTATCTCCTGTGGCTGTCCTTCCCTCATTGTCTGGAAACTTGACAGTGTGGAGTATAGCTTGGAGCCAAGGGGCTGCTCTGGGGTCCAGGTTCAATTACTCAGCCCTTCTCTACAGTGGTGTCACTGCCTGCTGTTGTCCCTCATTGTGGCTGTGGGTGCTGTACTGAGGTCACTCACCATCTGTTGACTTGAAGGCCATCCTGGAATCAGTGTCCTGTATTTTCTTTGCTGATTCCAACTGCAGCTGATTATCTTGGTCCCAATGTAGTTCTCTGGTTCTCCGTGAGCACAAAGTTTTTGGCGTCACTTTGTCACTGGACTGGTGGCTGGCCAGCCGCTGTTTGCATCAGCAGGGTCTGTGGTGGGTCTCTTTCCTCTGTGATGTAACCTGTTTCTTCTGTATCACTTTATACTTTTTTCTTCTCCTTTGTCAGTTTCCTCCTGGTTCCTGTGTAACCTCCTCTCACTTTGATTCCTTGCCAAGCTGTTATTTTTTAGATTCTAGAATCTGGATAAGTTGCTGCCATTCACTGCTCTGCCATTTTTTTCTCCTACCCTAAATTGGGTGTGTTGACTTCCTAAACAAAAATGGGATTTTGTTAGTAAAGAAGCAACAGTGGAAGTTATCTAGTAACCAGCAGTAGCTGTCACATATTTTAAGATTATATGAAAGATCAAACCATTTTATAAAGACTATAGAATTTGTCTCAATTTAGAATCTTGGGTTATAGTAAAATATTCCAGAGGTATATCCTTTTTACATGCATTTGTCTTGCAGCCATAGAGTAGTGTCTAAAAACAGATTTTGCATTTGGCCTTAAGCTTGAGTTCAGCCTCTGCTTATTTCTGATTATAAAACATTGGCCAGACTATTTACTCCTTCCTAAGATTGTCCACTGTAAACTAATATATGGTACCGGTTTATTGTGAATGTTAGAGATGGTGATTTAGTAAAGCCCTTGTAGTGCATATGCTAAGTAGACATGTTAGCTTTGTTTCTTTTATTCTTTTTTTAGTGAATTAAATTTTCCAGAAATTGGGCATAAGTTTTTGTATAACTTTAAAAATTTTAATGTGCCACACATTTTTATTTCTTAATGTTTACACACGAAATACATGATTATATTTTGTAGAAACAGTTCGTGACTATGAGCACCAGTTTCATCTCAGGCTGGAGCAGGAACGAACACAGTGGGCACAATATCGAGAATCTGCAGAAAGAGAAATAGCTGATTTGAGGCGAATGCTGTCTGAAGGCCAAGAGGAAGAAAATTTAGAAAATGAAATGAAAAAGGTATGAAGCATTGTGTTTATCTATACAAATATTTGAATGGAAATGCAAAGTGCTTCAGCAAATGTTGTGGTACTAGAAGCTATACTTTTCTGTTTTCTGTTAGTGGAATTACTTGGACACGACCTAAATATACCATACAATATAATGTGATGCTCTTGGCTTAGATAATATCTACGTCTGTCTTCCTTATTTTCTCCAAAATTTTTTGTTTTTAAAAAATATTTTTATTTTATTGTATTTTATTTTTCTGTATTGTTAGGTAACTTTATTCTGAGGAAGTTTTTAGTGCATGTTGGTAATACAAAATAGGAGTGTTTCTTTTGGGGAATTGGTACTTGCATATAATATCTCCATCATTTTCAATCCCTTTATGTTCCTTTCTTTTACCTCCATCTTCCCTCCCCCTCAATCTTCTTATCCATCTCCAGAATCTATTTTCAAGTTTCTTATCATCTCCTTATTTTATTCATTGACTCATTTATATTTTAGGTTCCTCATGTGATTTAACTTTGTGAGTCGGACTTACTTTACACAGCATGTTAGTCTTGCGTTTCATTCATTCTCCTGTGAACAACAGGGTTTTTTTTTCTTTTGAGACCAAATTTCGTGCTGTATAGTTCAGGCTGGCCTTGAACTCACTATGTAGCCCAGGCTCACCCCTAATTCATGGCAATTCTCCTGCCTCAGCCTCCCAAGTTCTGGGATTATAAGCTTGTGCCATGACACCTGGCAGGATATTATTTTTTATGGCTGAATATTATTCCATTATGTATATATACACCACATTTTCTTTTCTTTTTTTTTTATTGAGTTTGTTGGTACTTTTTAAGTATACAGTATAGTTACATTTATCATTGGGATCTTGCACTAGTCTGCACTCCCACCAACAAGGGAGAAGGGTTCCTTTCTCCCCACAACCCTGCCAACATTTGTTATTGAGTGATTTCTTGAGAGCAGCCATTCTTTGTGGGGTGAGGTGGAATCTCAGTGTTGTTTTCATCTGCATCTCTTGAATGACCAGTGATGTTGAACATTTTTTCGTATATTTATTTGCTGCTTTTACTTGTTTGTCTGAGAAGTGTCTGTTCATTTCAGATGCCCATTTTTTAATCCGGGTCTTTATATTTGGGGGGTCCTGATTTTTTTGAGTTCTTTATATATTCTAGATAATAGTCCTTTGTTTGAGGACAGCTGGTAAAAATATTTTCCCACATTGTAGGTTGTCTCTTAGTTCTGTTGATGGTTTCTTTTGCAATGCAGAAGCTTTTTAATAAGATGAGATCCCAGTTATTGATTCTTTGTGCTAGTTCCCATGCTACTGAGGGTCTGTTCATAAAGTCTTTTCCTATGCCAGTGTCTTCGAGCGTTCTGCCTAACTTATCTTCCAGCAAGTTTAGTGTTTCTTTTTTAATATTTAGATCTTTAATCCACTTGGATTTTAATTTAGTGCATGGTGAAAGATAAGGGTCTAGTTTTAAACTTTGGCAGATTGAAATCCAGTTTTTCCAGTACAGTTTATTAAAGAGACTATCTTTCCTCCACTGAGGATGGTTGACTCCTTTGTCAAAGATGAGGTACTGAGTACATCTGGAGTGTTTTCTGTATCTTCTTATCTGTTCCACTGACCCTCAGATCTTTTTTCTTTGTCAGTACCGTGCTGTTTTTATCATAGTGGCTTTATAATATAATTTCAAGTTGGGGATTGTAATACCCCTTGCCATGTCTCTGTTGCCTAGAATTGCTTTTTCTATTCTAGTTCTCTTCTTGTTCCAAATGAATTTTTGGATTATTTACTCTAGTTCTGCAAAATAATTGGGATTGCATTGAATCTGTATAGCAGTTTTGGTAGTATGGCCATTTTCACTATGCTGATTCTTCCTACCCAGGAGCAGGGGATATCTTTCGATTTTCTTATATCCTCTTTGATCTCTTTTTTCAGAGTGCTGTAGCTTTGAGTGTGGAGGTCTTTTGCTTCTTTCATTAGATTGATTCTTAGATATTTCATTTTTTTGGATGCTATTGTGAAAGGAATTGTTTCCCTAATTTCTCTCTCAATGAGTCTGTTACTTGTGTACAAGAAGGCTGTTGATTTTTTAGTGTTGACCTTGTTTGTATCCAGCTACTCTGCTGAAAGTGTCAATTAAGTCTAGAAGTCTTTCAGCAGAGTTTTTTGGGTGTTTTGTGTAGACTATCATATCATCAGCAAATAATGACAGTTTAACTTTTTCCTTTTTCTGTCTTTATTGCTTTAATTTCTTTCTCTTGCCTAATTGCTGTGGCTAATATTTCCAGAACTATATTGAACAGGAGTGGTGATAGTGGGCATCCTTGTCTTGTTCCTGATTTTAATGTGAAGGTTTTCAGTTTTGGGCCATTTAATATGATGTTGGCTGTTGGTTTTCATAGATAGCCTTCATCAGGTTGAGATAAGACCATCTATTCCAATTTTCTGCACGGTTTTTATCATGAATGGGTGTTGAATTTTGTCAAATGCCTTTTCTGCATCTATTAAGATGATCATATGGTTTTTGTCCTTGAGTCTGTTGGTACAGTGTATCACATTTATTGATTTATTTATGTTGACCATCCTGTATCCCTGGAATAAATCCGACTTGGTCAGGGTGTATGATCTTCTTGATAGCCCTCTGTATTGTTTGCCAGTATCTTATTGAGGAGTTTTGCATCTATGTTCATTAAGGAGATTGGCCTGTAGTTCTCTTTTTTTTTGGTTGGGTCTTTCCCTGGTTTTGGAATCAAAGTAACACTTGCTTCCAGGAATGAATTTGGAAGTATTGCTTCCCTTTCAATTTCATTGAAAAGTTTTTTAGAGTAGTGGCAGTAGTTCTTCTCTAAATGTCTTGTAGAATTCAACAGTGAATCCATCAGGACCTGCCTTTTCTTCGTTGCTAAACTTTTAATTACGTTTTCAATTTCACTGATTGTAATTGGGGTGTTTAGAATTTTTTTCATCTTTGATCAACTTTGTTAATTCATAAGTATCAAGAAATCTGTCCATTTATTCTGTGTTTTCCATTTTATTAGAGTACAAGTTCTCGAAGTAGGTATTGATGATCCTCTGGATTTCTGCTGGATCTGTTGTGGCTTCACCTTTTTCTTTGCTAACTGAATGGATCTGAGCCTTTTCTTTTTTTGACAAGTTTGTCTAAGGATTTATTGATTTTATTTATTCTTTTGGATAACCAACTCTTTGATTCATTGAATTTTTTTGTATCATTCTCTTAGTTTCCATTGCATTGATTTCTGCTCTGATCTTCATAATTTCCTCCCTTGTATGAGCTTTGGGTTTTTCTTGCTCTTCTTTTTCTAGGAGCCTAAAATTCATTATTAGGTTGTTTATTTGAGCTTGCTCTGTTTTCCTAGTGGGGGCATTCACTGCTGTGAATTTTCCATGTAGAACTGCTTTCATTGTGTCCCATAGATACCTGTATGTTGTATTGATATTATAATTTATTTGTAAAAACTGACTAATTTCTTCTTTAATTTCCTCTGTGACCCATTGATTGTTCAAGAGAGTGTTATTTAATTTCCATGTGTTTGTGAAGTTCTTACGGTTTCTCATGATGTTGATCTCCAGCTTAATTGCACTATGGTCTGATAATATGCATGGGATAACTTTGATTCCTTTGCATTTATTTAAGCTTCTTCTGTGAGCTAGTATGTGGTCTGTTTTGGAGAATAATCCATGTGCAGCCAAAAAGAATGTATATTCTGATTTTGTGGGGTGGAACATTCTGTAGATGTCTATTTAGTGCATTTGTTCAAAAGCTTGGTTCAGTTTGAGTATTTCATTGTTGATTTTTTGTCTAGATGATCTATTTGTGATAGTGGGGTATTGAGGTCCCCCACTATAATTGTATTAATGCTTATTTGGTTTTCATGTCCCTTAATATTTGTTTTATATATTTGGGGCACATATATTTATGATTGTCATCTCTTCCTCTTGGATTGTTCCTTTTACAAAATTGTAGTGGCCTTCTTTGTCTATCTTAATCAGTTTGGGTTTGAAATTTACTTTGTGAATAAGATAGCTACCCCTGCTTTTTTCTGGGTTCCTGTGGCATGGAGAATTGTTTTCCATCCTTTCACCTTCAGTCTGTGAGTTTATTTTTGCACTAGGTGTGTTTCTTGTTTACAACATATTGCTGGATTTTGCTTCTTAATCCATTCTGCCAGTCTGTTTCTTTTGATTGGTGAATTGAGGCCATTGACATTGACAGTTATAACTGATGTGAATTGACTTATCATTTTCATGTTATTGTCCTGTTTTTGGCTCTTTTTAATTTTTCCCCCTCTCCCTATAGTTTCTTGCCTTGCCTAATTGATTTGCTCTTTTGGGCCTCATGGTGTTGTGACCTTTATTGTCTTTTTCTAGGATGTTGTTTAGAATTGTCTGTAGTGCTGGTTTGGTATTCATGTAGTTTCTCATGTGTTCTTTGTCATGGAAGTATCTTATTTCCCCATTCTTTTTAAAAGAGGGTTTTGCAGGATACATAGTCTAGGTTGGAGGTTGTTTTCTCTTACTACTTGAAATACCTCACTCCAGGTTCTCCTTGACTGGAAGATTTGTGTTGAAAAGTCTGCTGTCGTTCTGATGAGCCTTCCTTTGCATATGATTTATTTCTTTTCTCTAACTGCTTGTAGTATTTTGTTCTTCTGTTGGGTTTCTGGGATCTTCACTATTATATGTCTAGGTGTAGATTTTTTTGATCATGGCTATTTGGAGTCCTGTATGTCTCACTTATCTGTATGTCTGTCAAATTCTTCCCCTCTGTTTGGGAAGTTTTCTGTCATTAATCCTGTGAACAGCTTTTTTAAGTTATTTGTATTTTCTCCTGCTACTTCATGGATTCCTATCAGCCTTATGTTACTCTTTGCATCATCTAGGAGTTGTTGGGTTGATTTCTCACAATCCCTTACTGTTCTTAAGAGATCTCTCTTTTCACGGTCATTAACTGCAGTCCTATCTTCTATATCTGAAATCCTATTTTCACATTTGTCCATCCTGGTGCAAATGCTTTCGGTAGAATTTTTGATCTTCTGGATATCTGTTTGAATCCATTTCATGGATTCCATTTCTTTCCTATGTTGGACATTCATGGTTTCCATTTCTTTCCTGGGCATTCATGGCTTCTATCATAGTCCTGAGCTCACCTATTTTTTTGTCAGTTTTTGTTCTAGAGTCTCTAATCATGTCTTTCCTTGTGCTTTCCATCTCTGTAGTTATCTGGGAAATTATTTGTTTTGAACTTTTCTGGAGCCTGAATGATCTGTTTTGTTACTTCCTGTGCTCTGAGTTCAGGGTGTCCTGGTGTTTGATTATCAGAGTTTTCTACCTCGTTTCCCCTAGAATTTGCTCTTGGTGAACTGGAAGTCTCTCTTTGTGCCTTAAGTGTTTTTTCATTTTTATCTTTGTTGTTGGGCTGTCCTATGTTTAATTCCTGAGTTAGTACTTTGACCTTCCTGATATAGCTGCTCTTCAGGTTTTGAGTTTCTACTGACTCATAGACACTCTCACTTTCATAGTATCAGAAAGGACAGGGCCAGGGATTTAGCTCAGTGGTTTGGTGGCCTGCCTTGCAAGCGCAAGGACCGGAGTTCAATCCCCGGTACCAAAAAAAAAGAAAGGACAACTCATTAAATCAATCACAACCCTTTCGCACAGTTGATACAATCAGCAACATGACAGCATCAAGCACAGCTTAGAAATTGTTGATTTTTGATAGTTGTTAATTTATCACCTTTAAACCATGTGAAGTAAATAAAAATTGAGGACCAGCTCAAAATGTTTATAGCGAATAAACTCTTCAATATAGCAACTTTACCCTTCAGAATGGGGACTTAGAAGGAGTTAGGAGAGAAATAGATAGGTAGAAGAATAGGAGAAGGTTTCAAGTGAAGCCAGAGGACACAGGACAATCAAACAAATTCTAGGAAACTGCTGAAGACAAGAGGGAAAGACAGAGTGCAAGAAGAAAGACAAGAATAGAACAACTTAACAGTAATAGGGAATCTATAAATTATACTCACTTTCCTTTGAAACTAATGACACTTGAGTTAAGGAAAAAGAGAGAAGAGAAGAAGGAAAAATCCAAATTAGGGCAGGAACAGGAACAAAAAGGGAGATAAAGAATAATGTGGGCGAGCAGGAAAAAGAAGAAAGAAAAAAAGAATTTGCAGAATGGGAAAAATAGAATTGAGGGAAAGAAAGGGAAAAAAAGTTTCAAGAGTCTTTTTCAGGGTATATCTCTGCTATTACAGTAGACAATATGGGCAGCAATGTGCAGAACTAAGTCAGATGGCAGACTGCTGAGATTCAGGCTGAATTTTGGCTGCAAGGCCCAAGTTGAGCTCCCTGACCTCCTGCAGAGTTGAAGTATACTAGGTTCTACTACAGGTTCCTGCTGCCTGTACCCTGAAGGTAGTCCAAGTTTTGGTGGAAGGTGGTGATCCCTCTCAACTCACCAACTGCAGAGGTCTGATGTGCCTTTATTGCAGTAGTTCACTTCTGTTCTATCTTCTGGAGCTCAGTAAAATGGCCTTTTGACCACCTGTGCCTCTGCAGTGTGGATTCACATACTGGCAAAACCAGGAGGCCTGAGAGTGGAGGGCAAGGTGCTGCAGAGGTGCCCATGCAGCTGGGCTGTTCTCACCAGTTTGCTCTGCTGAAGACCCAGGGCACTGCCAGCTCCCTGTAGCTCCCTGTAGCTGGGTGGTCCTCACTGTTCTGTACACCACATTCATCCATTCCTCTGTTGATAGGTATGTAGAATGGAGCATGGCTTTTTCCAGAGCTTAGCTATTATGAATTATGCTGCTATAAACAAGGGTGTATATCACTATAACATGATATCTTTTAATTCTTTTAGGAGCATACCAGGGAGCAGTATAGCTGGGTTGAGTGATAATTTAAGTTTTTGAGGAATCTCCATGCTCATTTTCATAGTTCTCTATGTAGTATTCCAGCACCATTTGTTAAAGAGATTGTCTTTTCTGCAATGTGTGCCTACCTTTGTTTTCCAACTGTCATCTCCTGATTTCCTGTATCTTGCTCCAGTTTTTCTCTTTCCACAGCACCTATTTCCTTATATAACATAAAAATCACCTTTTATTGTATTTATTGGTCACTGCCTGTTTCTGTTTGGTAGAATGTAAGTTCCATGAAAGCAGGAATTTTATTTGTGAGTCCTAAATACCTAAAATAGTATCTAGCGCATACATGTTCAGTATTTGTTGAATAAGAGTTGTTGTTTGATAATTGTGTGTAAACAAGTTTTAGAAGATGTTAGTTTTCCTTCTTTCCTCAGTATACTTTATTTCCTATGTGACAGATGCTCCACATACTCTGTTTCAACATAGCATAAACACAGGGCAACTAAATATAAGATGAAACATAACTGAGATTTAAAAAGCTTTTTGGCCAATTTGATTATGTAAATGTATTAATTTGTATACACATTTTTAATGTCACATTTACAATTTGAATTTTCTTTTCAGTTCAATTAAAAACGATCTTTTGTTACTAATCTTTGTTCCATTCTTCTACTATCTATTCATTTCCATAGTCTGCCACATTTTGTCATTTAAAAAAATTTTAATTTTGCTGGGTATTTAGCTCAGTGGTTCTGCCACCTGCCTTGCAAATGCAAGGACCTGAGTTTGATCCCTGGTACCAAAAAAAAAAAAAATTTTTGTTTTTTAATTTTTAAAATAAACTTTATTTTTAGAGCCATTTTTTATTAACATAAAAATTATGAAGATAGCACAGTTTCTCCATGTCCAGTTTTCCTCATGTTTTTTGTAGTTAATAAATTATTAATCATTTCATAATTATTGACCAAAGTCCATTCTTGTATTCAGATTGCATTATTTATTTATTTGTTTGTTTATTTGGTACTGGGGATCAAACTCGGGACCTTGTGTTTGTGAGGCAGGCAGTGGAACCACTGAGTTAAATCTCTGGCCCCAGATTGCATTAGATTTTACCAAATGTCCTTTCTTTCTGTTAGAAGATCTTGTTCAGGATACATTTGGACTTAGTCAGGTCATCTTATTGGTCTTCTCTTAGCTGTAACAAGATTTTCTCTCAGATGTTCCATGCTTCTAATGACCTTGCTTTCATTTTTAAGTGTACTTAAAATCTTTGTTTACAATGACATGCAACGCTTAGAATAGTGAGGTCATATTTGCATGAATAAATAGCTATGATAAAGTCTTTACTTTCGCCCTTCCATTTTATCCTCTTGAGTTTTAATCAAGTGATTTCTTTATAAGAATTCCAAAATAGCTGAGTGTGGTGTCACTGTGTAAGTGTAAGTTTCATTTTCATTAGTAGGAGGAGTTCCAGCTTTTTGTCTCTACGATTATTTCTCTGTGTGTGAGTGTAGGTATGTGCCTGTAATTCCAGCACTTGGGAGGCTGAGGCAGGAGGATTGCTGTGAGTTTGAGACCAGCCTGGGCTACATAGTGAGTTCCAGGTCAGTCTCAACTACATAGTGAGAACCTGTCTCAACTCCCCCCTCCAAAAAAAAGAATTCCAAACTACCTTTGACTTTGAAGATGTTTTAAGCTGACGTGTTTTTTTCCAAACAGTACTTAGTTCAAAATGTGATTTTTAAGGACGTGAAAGTGAATCTGAATCTCTCTTTTTTTTAAATCCTCTTCACATTTGAGTAGATTTTCTGAATTCTAAACAACTTGGGATAAGTTTCAGTTCTTTTCATTCACTGTGTAAGTGTAAGTTTCATTTTCATTAGTAGGAGGAGTTCCAGCTTTTTGTCTCTGTGATTATTTCTCTGTGTGTGAGTGTAGGTATGTGTATGTATATATAAAAAGTGAAAATTTAGTTCCTCACCATTTTATTAGTTTAAGGAATAGTTTCCTTTTAATCCATGCTTTTGAGAATGGAATTTGGACAGTTTTATGGGTCATTCTTTGAGTTTGCTTCATTTAGATATTAAAAAGTAAAATGATATTTAAAATATTTTTGCATACTTGGAAGCCTTTTTATAACAACATAATTATCTTAACAGTTTTGAAAACACATTCTATTTTGTGTTTTAAAACATCATTACCAGCACTTGAGAGGCTGAGGCAGGAGGATCACTGTGAGTTGGAGGCCAGCATGGTATAGACAGTGAGTTCAGGCTAGCTTGGACTACAGAGACCCTATCTTAAAAAACTGGGGGAAAAATGTCCTTTCAATATTTTTAAGCTATGATCTCACTTACTTAGTAACTGGGACTTAAAAAATTGTTTGTTATATGTATTTCTTTTTACATATAAACTATTTTTTAACTCAGTTGCTAATTAAAAAGTCAAATATGTCATAGTGAATATATTTTTCTATTTCAAATTTTAATGAAATATTTGGGAAAACTAATTATGGTTTGGCATTCTAATAAGATACCATTGAAAAGTTACACTTAGTTCAGTTTTTAAACTTCTAATGAAGTGCTTAATATAGTTATTTGTTATATTAATTTTTACCAAATGGATAAGCCAGACTTTCTCTGAAAAGCAATAAATGAGTAAGTTGTAACATTTAATTTGTATTTTTAACCACAGGCCCAAGAAGATGCTGAAAAACTTCGGTCTGTTGTGATGCCCATGGAGAAGGAAATTGCAGCTTTGAAAGATAAGCTGACAGAGGCTGAAGACAAAATTAAAGAGTTGGAGGCCTCAAAGGTTGTAAAACATTGTAATCCATCTGCCCTAATGACATGAACGAAATTAGAATCACTAAGAGGTTTAAACTAATTTAGACTATACATTTTAAGAATTTTGCTTTGGCTTAAAACATCAAAAAACTGCATTGAGATGATTTGCCCATATGAATATTTTAAATAAATAATCACAATAATGATGCCTTATAACAGTGGCTACTTTATTTCAAAGTTAGTGTTCATTTCTTATCAAAATGAGACATAATCCCATTAAATTTTCTTATCTAGGAAAATGGTCTTCAAAGTTTTTATTTTCCTATGCTAGCCTCAGACTTATCTTTTAGAGATGATATAGCTATTGTATGGCTGAATTTTTATTGAACATTTTAATAAAGTAGGAAGCTGATGATTTAGCTCACTTTCAGTGAGGGTGTTTGTTAGCTTTTCATCACTATGGAAGAAATACCCGAGGAAATCAAGTTGAAAGTAGGAAAGGTTTATTTTAGCACACTATTTTAGAAGTTTGAGTCCATGGTCACTTGGGTCTGTTGCTTCTGGTCACCTGATGAGAAAGAACATATTGGGTGGGGGGGTTTATATTTGAACAAAAATGAACAACCTCTTTATAGACCATATAAATAAAGATCTATGTGTGTAAATACTTTAGTAAAAAAATAGAGCATTCATTAATATAGCAGTCATTGTATCCCTCAATTTAATCTGTAAATTCAGAATCCAGCAGGATTTAATAAAGAACTTAATAATTAGATCCTAGAATTCTTACAGAGCAGCAACAAATCAGGAATACACACTGCAGAGTTTTGGTGAAACTCTTACCCTGTATACCAGATAATAAGATTTACAGTAAAGCCACTATACTCAAGATAGTTTGTTACTGGGTCAAAAAATTGACCAATGAAACAGAATAGAGCACCACAGAGATTGAGACATATGTATGTAGAAGTTTGATATATGAAAGATAACATTAAAATTGGTGAGAGGGAAGTGGACTGTCCCCCATATGCTTTTTAAATAGTTTTTAAATTAAATCCCAAGAAAAGGGTAATCTTTAACATTTTCAGATGTTAAAAAAAGAGAACTTGAAGGGTCAGGGATTTAGCTCAGTGATGCTACACCTGCCTTGCAAGCACAAGGTTCTGAGTTCAGTCCCTGCTACCGGGGGGTTTGGGGGGAATTTGTGCTGTGTATGGTGGCACACTTCTGTAATTCCAGCACTTGGTAGGTTGAGGCAGGAAGATTCTTGTGAGTTTTCTGCTAGTTTAAACTTATATAGTTTAGACCCTTCCTCAACAAACAAAAGAAGGGATGAGGGTGGGAAGAATATGTTGTTTAGGTCGAAAAGATTTTTTTGTTTTTGGTACTGGGAATCAAACTCAGGACCTTGGGCTTACCAGGCTGGTATTGCACTGGTAAGCTACATTCCTGGCCTATGAAAAGATTTCTTAAGACAAAAAATTGACTCTAGAAGAAACACTGACAAATTTGGCCACATTAGAATATAAATGTCCTTGTTAAAAGATACTACCAAGAGAAGACAAAGAAAGTTACAGTCTTTGAGAAGATTATTTATAACTCAGGTATGTGACAAAAAATTGATTTCCAGAATTAAAAGACATTGCCATTCTGCAAGTAACAAAGGGCCCAGTAGAAAAAAAACAAGTACAGTACAGTATATGAATGAGCAGTCCCAAAAGAAGAAACCAAATAGTCAAGGAATATAAACAGTATTTGACCGTATTAGAGATCAGAGAAATGCAAATGAAATTTGGATATTATCTTACCATAACCAGGTTGTCTTAACAGAAAAAGTTTGTTGACTTTACTCTCGTGAGTGTGTGAAGTGGTTTCACCTGCTTCTGTCATGTTGGAGACTTAGTTGACTATTTGGGGGAATGAGGATCCTTGCTGCTTCCTCTGATTTTTTTTTTTTCCTTTCCGTTTGCTACTGTGTTAAGTTAACCTGGATAAGTAGCTTTCAGTGGTTTGTCTTCACCCTGTCTTTGTCACCTGGATTTTTGCAGGATTTTGTCCATGTATCTTTATACTTGATCCTAGCCAAAAGGGTGAGAGATGATGTTCAAGTACTGTATTTTTAATTTAGATTGGTAGGGTATAAAGAATTTACTAAATTCAAATACTAGTGCTACTATTTCTACCATCTTCCCAAACTTCTTCACAGTAGCTTTTATATATTAGAAATTAATTATTAATTGATTTAAATGTTTATTCTAAGAAATTATAGCTGGTAGAATTAGTAGTTTTATGCCACCATTTTTGATTGCCATGTTGGTTTTCTGTGACTGTCAGCTGGTAGTAGAGAAAGTGCCTCACAATAGTCAGCAGTTTGCCGTGCTTGTTTGATGTCTTGTTGTTGGCGGACAATTTCTAGCAAAGCATCAAACCATAGCTGAAACATTTTAGTGACTGTAATAGCCTAGGAATAAAGATAACTATTTAAGTTTAAAGAAGTAAGAAGGTAAAAGGAATGAAAATTACTTTGAATATGAAATTAGATATAAGCTCTTGAAAAAGCTGAAAGTTAATGGTTAGAATTTAGGATGAACAATTTACATGACAAGGTAAAACAAATGACATTATACTAGATTTTCTGGGGTAGTTTTGTATTTTCTTTTGGCTGTAAGTATTTCAAATACTAGACTGTATTGTTAATATTCTGAGTATTATTGTTAATTGTTCAGAAATAAAGGATATTATGAAAAGATGATTTTTAAAAATATTTTGCATTCAGGGCCAGGGATGTAGCTCAGCAGTGCTGTTCCTGCCTGGCAAGTGCAAGATCCTAAGTTCAGTTCCCAGTACCAGAAAAAAGAAAAAAGGGAAAAAATATTCTGCATTTGCCTTCAAGTTTGTGTGGTTATAGTGGTTTCCTCTCTCAGCTTTGATAAATATTTGTGTCAGTGAAAAATTTGTCCTTATTATAAATTTAAGTCATTTGGAATTACCTCATCAGAAATTAAAGAAAAGCAAAGTTAAAGGACAAGATACATTTTTTTATCCTTAGAAATTACTGTTTAACAAAAATGCAAAGCATACAGTATATCATCGAATATAGGAGTAAAGAGGCATGCATACATTGCTCTGGAGAAGCAAACTAGAACTACATTTTTTAAAAGCAAAGCACAAGCATCTCAATTGCGTATTTACTCAGATGATGGGATTATTGAGAATAACTATTGTGATTTCCTGAGTTTTCTGTAGTATGTATTTGTTTTATGATTAAAATTATAAATGTTAGTTTTTATAAATGTAGATTTATGTAAATATAAAATTGTAAAGAACTTATCACTATTTTTTTCACAGATTACCATTATACACCTAAAACAGAAACCATTGTAAATTTCAGTTTGATAGAATTGCATCTTCTTTCAGGTTAAAGAACTGAATCATTATCTGGAAGCTGAGAAATCTTGTAGGACTGATCTAGAGATGTATGTAGCTGTTTTGAATACTCAGAAATCTGTTCTTCAGGAAGATGCTGAAAAACTTCGGAAAGAATTGCATGAAGGTAAATGTTCTAAATATTTTTATTTCAATCTCAGGTAGAACTATGTAAGTAAAATAAAATTAATATTGACTAACAACAACAAATTCTAAAATACTCATGAAACATATTAGTGATTGAATATAAGCTTTGTGATCGCTTTAAATGTTCTCATGAAAAGCTGAGGTGTAAGGGACCAGGGATTTAACTCAGTGGTGCCGTCACCTTCCTCGCAAATGCAAGGTCCAGAGTTTGATTCCCCAGTACCAAAAAAAAAAAAAAACCACTCAAAAACAAAGCTGAGGGTGTGAGGATTAGTAAGGGGGTTGGATTGTTAATGGCTCCTCTTTCCTCCATAACCCCAGTAAAAATGTCACAAGGCCTTCACTTTGAGCAGAAAGAGAATAAGGCTGGAAATTTCTGTTTAACTGTTTTTGCCTGCACACTCATTTTTTTTTTTTTTTTGGTACCGGGGATTGAACCTGGGTCTTTGCGCTTGCAAGGCAGGCCACCAAACCACTGAGCTAAATCCCCAGCCCATGCACACTCATTTTGATGGGGATGAATTAGCAAAAATGATAGTGGGACAGTGTATTCTGGTTATATAACATTACTTTTTCTAAGCAACAATTTTAGTATTACTAGTCTTATACCAGAATGATGCACAGATTAACTGTATTTTCCAAAATGGTTATCAAGAATTTTTTTTTTTTGGTACCAGGGATTGAACTCAGGACCTTGCCAGACAGATGCTGTGTCACTGAGCTAAATACCTGACCCTATTGAGAATTAAAACCCTCAAATTTAAAGTTATTATTAATAAATGTGCTATTTTAAATAGCAAAGACTAAGAGCTGGATATGGCAGCACATATCTGTAATCCTAGTACTTGGGAGGCTGAGGCAGGAAGATTGCCAAGAGCTTCAGGCCAGCCTAGGTTACATAACGAGTTCAAGGCCAGTCTGAACTGCATAGTGAGATCCTGTCCTAAAAAACCAAAACCAACCAAACAAAAATAAATAGCAAAGTCTAACAACAAGTTTATTAACTGGTAATTTTGTAGTAAGGATGATCATAAATTATATTAAGATAGCTGCAACAAGTAGTAAAATATAAAAATTTCTATTCGCAGTCAAATCATAGGTATTGTTAATGCTTCTGTAGTTTGTTGTCTACATTTTACAGTTAAGGAAATAATGTTTCAGTTAGGAGATAGTGAAAATAATAGTCTTTTTTTTTTCTTATCCAAATTGTGGACTCCTTTAAGTCCTTTTAAATTGTGGGTTATACTGTACTGGGACATACTTTAATGTGCAAGGTTTGGACCATGGTGATAGAGTCCTACAGTGAAAACTTTTAAGTATATCAAATGCTGTGGAAAGTAGAGCTTAAAATAATTTAGGTTTACATATGATTTTGGTTTTTTCCTAAATAGTGGAAAGCCAAAATGATATCAATCTACAGAATTATTTCATAAAATATTGTGAAAATTACCCAAACATTGAATGGATTTTTGCCTTTAGGAAAGTTTTCAGATGTGCTGTTTTAGTCAGTGATACCTGTTCTGCCAGAGAATATCCAAAAGAAAGAATTTCTGGTTAAATTTTTCATTCTAACTCTTCTAGAAATAGTATGTTATTGTGGATACCAGAGCTTCCTAATATATCTGAGAAAAGTGTCTGAGAAAGTTAATAAAAATGAGGAAGGGCATGGAGCTATACTAAAACACTGAAAACTAGGGTCTTTAAATGAGAAGGCAGATAAAAATTGAATACCAGTATAATTTACAGCCTAAATTGGTGGAGCTAGATATGCAGTCAGATGAGTGCTGTGCTGGGAAGTGTGCCAGAATATGGTAGTGCCCCCAGTGAAGAGGTGAAGAGTGGCCAATTCTTTACTTTCTTTGTTTTTCCTTGGGCTGAGATTGAATTCAGAGCCTTGCACACAGAATATGAATGGTCTACCACTGAGCTACATCCCCAGCTTTATCAAAATTTGCTAAACACAATTAGGAGTGGTTATTACATTTTGGTCTTTAGAGCATTTATTTGCCAAAGAGTATTTCCTGCATACTTGCCCATTTGATTTGAACTGTGAGAATTGGGGATTTTTGTCAAATAAATTTGGGAAATGCTGTATTATGTATCACCTAGACTTTATTTTCTTTTTTAAAGCATTTATATACAATTTTAAAAAGTTAAATTTAAGGTCATACCTTCAAGTTTGATATATTGTACACAGATCATGCAGAATATATGTATGAAGAGATACAAATTAGTCCATGCCCCAAAAGATGGACTAGAATACAGAATCATCTTCATAAATATATATAAAATTCTTTTTTTGTTGTTGTTTGTTGTTTTTGTTTTTTTTGAGACAGGGTCTCACTATGTAGTTGAGGCTGACCTGGAACTCACTATGTAGCTCAAACTGGTCTCGAACTCACAGCGATCCTCTGCCTCAGCCTCCCGAGTGCTGGGATTACAGGCGTGCTATAAAATTCTTTATCACCTAAAATTTCTAAATGTGGTTAAGGATAGGAACACACTTTGAGAGACTGCATTAGAAAGATGGTTTGGGATAGCTGTCCTGTTCAACTATAGATTGCTCCTTGGTGCCAGCCAAGGGCAGACAAAATGAACCATTCAGACCTGGTCCAGTAGCCCTATACTAAAGAAATTTCCTTCCATTAAAATTCAGTGTTTTTGATTGGTGGGGTTTCTTAAACAGTTTGCCATCTCTTGGAGCAAGAGCGACAGCAACACAACCAGTTAAAACATACATGGCAGAAGGCCAATGACCAGTTTCTGGAATCTCAGCGTTTGCTGATGAGAGACATGCAGCGAATGGAGATTGTGCTAACTTCAGAACAGCTCCGACAAGTTGAAGAACTGAAGAAGAAAGATCAGGTGAATAGCAGTTTTGTAGGGCTTGTTTACATTAACAGCAGTGCACGCACACACACCATGATTATGTTACATATGTCAGAGATTGACTTAAGCTAGGAGAAGGTAATGTTTGCTGCTTTATTATTTGCTTTGCTGGGGATCAAACTCAGGGTCCTATACATTCCAGGCAAGTGGTATGCCACTGAGCTATATTACTTGCTCCTGGACTTTTATTTTTTTTATTAGCCCCCAGTGAAGAGGTGAAGAGTGGCCAATTCTTTACTTTCTTTGTTTTTCCTTGGGCTGAGATTGAATTCAGAGCCTTGCACACAGAATATGAATGGTCTACCACTGAGCTACATCCCCAGCTTTATCAAAATTTGCTAAACACAATTAGGAGTGGTTATTACATTTTGGTCTTTAGAGCATTTATTTGCCAAAGAGTATTTCCTGCATACTTGCCCATTTGATTTGAACTGTGAGAATTGGGGATTTTTGTCAAATAAATTTGGGAAATGCTGTATTATGTATCACCTAGACTTTATTTTCTTTTTTAAAGCATTTATATACAATTTTAAAAAGTTAAATTTAAGGTCATACCTTCAAGTTTGATATATTGTACACAGATCATGCAGAATATATGTATGAAGAGATACAAATTAGTCCATGCCCCAAAAGATGGACTAGAATACAGAATCATCTTCATAAATATATATAAAATTCTTTTTTTGTTGTTGTTTGTTGTTTTTGTTTTTTTTGAGACAGGGTCTCACTATGTAGTTGAGGCTGACCTGGAACTCACTATGTAGCTCAAACTGGTCTCGAACTCACAGCGATCCTCTGCCTCAGCCTCCCGAGTGCTGGGATTACAGGCGTGCTATAAAATTCTTTATCACCTAAAATTTCTAAATGTGGTTAAGGATAGGAACACACTTTGAGAGACTGCATTAGAAAGATGGTTTGGGATAGCTGTCCTGTTCAACTATAGATTGCTCCTTGGTGCCAGCCAAGGGCAGACAAAATGAACCATTCAGACCTGGTCCAGTAGCCCTATACTAAAGAAATTTCCTTCCATTAAAATTCAGTGTTTTTGATTGGTGGGGTTTCTTAAACAGTTTGCCATCTCTTGGAGCAAGAGCGACAGCAACACAACCAGTTAAAACATACATGGCAGAAGGCCAATGACCAGTTTCTGGAATCTCAGCGTTTGCTGATGAGAGACATGCAGCGAATGGAGATTGTGCTAACTTCAGAACAGCTCCGACAAGTTGAAGAACTGAAGAAGAAAGATCAGGTGAATAGCAGTTTTGTAGGGCTTGTTTACATTAACAGCAGTGCACGCACACACACCATGATTATGTTACATATGTCAGAGATTGACTTAAGCTAGGAGAAGGTAATGTTTGCTGCTTTATTATTTGCTTTGCTGGGGATCAAACTCAGGGTCCTATACATTCCAGGCAAGTGGTATGCCACTGAGCTATATTACTTGCTCCTGGACTTTTATTTTTTTTATTTTTTTATTTATTTATTTATTTATTTTTTATTGTGTTTATTGGTACATTTAGGGATACAGTACAGTTACATTCATTGTTGGGATCATATCAGAGATTGTTAAGCTAGGAGAAGGTAATGTTTGCTGCTTTATTATTTGCTTTGCTGGGGATCAAACTCAGGGTCCTATACATTCCAGGCAAGTGGTATGCCACTGAGCTATATTACTTGCTCCTGGACTTTTATTTTTTTTTTT